GGAAGCAGGCCATTCAGCCCACTGAGTCCACACCAACCCTCTGAAGAGTCCTGCCACATCCAGTCGTCAATGTTGGTGGACAATTAGACAACTCCCTGGAGGAGGAGGCTCCACAAATATTCCCATCCTCAATGATGGAAGAGCCCAGCACATCAGTGCAAAAGATAAGGCTGAAGCGTTCGCAGAGATCTTCAGGCAGAAGTGCCGAGCAGATGATCCATCTCGGCCTCCTCCAGTAGTCCCTAGCGTTACAGATACCAGTCTTCAGCCAATTCGATTCACTCCACGTGATCTCGAGAAACGGTTGGAGATACTGGATACTGCAAAGGATATGGGCCCTGACAATATTCCTGCAATAGTACTGAAGACTTGTGCTCCAGAACTTACTGCTCCCCCAGCCAAGCTCTTCCAGTAGTTACAACATGGGCATGTTGTACTTGACGATGTGGAAAATTGGCCAAGCATGTCTTGGACCATAAGTAGGACAAATCCTTCCTGGCCAATTCTTGCCCCGTCAGTCTCCTCTCGATCATCAGTAAAGTGATGGAAGGTATCAGTAACAGCGCTATCGAGCAGCACCTGCTCAGCAATAACCTGCTCAGTGTCGCCCAGTTTGGGTTCCGCCAGGGCCACTCAGCTCCTGACCTCATTACAGCCTTGGTTCAAACATGGACAAAAGAGCTGAATACAGCTAACTGCTCCACAATCAATGCGGAACGTTTACCAAATCTGATGAGGGAAGGAAAACATGTACTTTATTGGAACACATCTTACTGTGAGAGCAAAATCAAGTGACATTGCAGCACTTCCTGCGTGCGGTATTGGACCATGCAGTTCGGTTGAACCCATTACACTACAGCGCACTGGAGTCCCCTCTCCCTTCTTGAGAGGTGAAAGCAGTACCTCTGGAGCAAAACTCGTCTTGGGACAATATTTAGTTCCAGGGAAACCATACCTTTTGTGAAATGCTCAGACCTTGCGGGCTCATGTCTTCCACTCATCGACACGCCTGACAGGAAAAAAAAATACAGGCAATATTTAGTCGGTTATTGAGATACTTTTCTTCGTGTCCATGGGGGCATCCAGTGACACAAACAAACTTAAGATTTCCAACACCAAAATGGATAACTTAGTCTTCTGGTGTCTCTGCTCCACACCAGCCTCTTTCCAGAACCCCCCATGCCTTTTCGCCTCACCCACATCATCCTATCCTTCAATTCCCTTCTCCCTCGTAACGTCCCAATAAATATATCTGCGTTCTTCACCCTAATCCCTCCATATTCTCCTCACTCTCTGGTTTTTCCCCGATTCGGTCCGTCAGGGGACTATCTTGTATCTACGATCCCCTGGGACGTCCTTTCCTCTGCACCTTCTCCTGTGCCTCGACATTGCAAGGTGCCACTGCAACTCCCAAGTGCAGTTTAACCAAGGTCCACTACAAATTTACCATCATTTCTTTGCTGCCCCCACTCTCTCTCCGCATCACCTCATACTGAGAGGCTGAAATGACGGACATTTACAATGGTGTATTCTGTGGCAGTCTGCATCATTATTAACGACGCACCCAGTGTAGCTCTGCTGGGAACATACCTGGGATTCCATGTGCAACATTGGTCCCTTTGGCTAAGGAAGGGTATACTCACACCGGGATAAGGATTTGTATAAACGTAAGGCCTAGAGCAGGAGTAGGCCCCTTCAGCATGCCTGCCAATGAGATCACGATTGCCCCAGCTTCCTGCCTACACCCCAATGACCCTTCACCCTCTTGCTTCGCATCACGGAATCAGGAAGCAGGCCATTTGGCCCATAATCGACCCCCACCCCCACAGCCCTACTCTACCCCTGGCCAATTCACCCTAACCTGCACATCTTTGGACTGTGTGGGAGGAAACCGGAGCACCCGGAGGAAACCCCATGCAGACACAGGGAGAATGTGCAAACTCCACACAGACTGAGGGTGGAATCGAACCCGGGTCTCTGGTGCTATGAGGCAGCATGCTAACCACTGAGCCGTGCTGCCTTATCAAGCACCTGGCTACCTCTCCCTTAACAATACTTGAGCACTCTGCTTCCACTCCCTTTCGGGAAGAGAATTCCAAAGGTTCCCAAACCTCGGAAAACAATTCTCACCTATGCCTTTATTTTGAAAGAGCAATCTCCCCCAAGAGGTCTCCCAAGAAAGGAAAAATCCGCCCCACATTGATCCAGTCGAGCCCCCCCCAGGACCTTGTATATTTCAAGCAACACATGCGAGGCCTTGTCCTCCTAAAGAAACTGCTCAATCCCAGGATCAGTCTGGTCAACCTTTTGTGGTCTCCCCAGCACCCTGTGCCACTGAAGCACACTCTCCCTACTTTTGCATTCACTTGCTGGGTGCTCTGGGATGAAGGAGACCTGCCTGCGACGTGAGGCTGAGTCGATGGGCCCGATACTCTCTAGAGTTTAGAGCAGGAGGCAACTGCGTTGAGACAGACGGGATTCTGAAGGGGCTTGGACGGGGTAGAAGCTGAGAAATTGGCTCCCCTGCTCGCACAGTCTTGGGGGGAGGGGGCATTATTCAGCACGGAGGGGAGGGGACATTTCTTTCCTCAGAGAGTGGTGGATCTCTGGAATTCCCTCCGCCCACCTCCGAGGGAGTGGAACCTCCACTGTTAGATACATTTCAGGCTGGGGATTAGACAGATTTTTAACGTCCCTCAGGGAAACCGGGGATAACGGTTAGGGTTGGAGAGCAAGGTTGGAAGCAGTAGATCGGCTGCAATCGAGTGGAATGGCGGAGCGGGCTCGACGGGCCGAATGGCCTACTTCTGCTCCTATTTCTGACGTTCTTACCTTCACTGACAAACACAAACTGCATGTGCACTTTTGCCCTCTCAAGCCTTTTGTATAAATGGTGAATGCAGCAATCCCAACACGAATGCTCATGGGACACCACTCCCTACCTCACCTGCTTCCCTGTCTCCCCCCACCCCCTCAATTTTTGGGTATCTGATTTACGCCGTCCTGTTTCCTTCTGAATTGTCCCTCCACAGGCTCCAAATATCACCACAGGTTTACTTCCCACTGCCTTAGAGGGACTTTTGAACATCTGAACTTATTACATCTACAGTGCCACCTTTATCTACCCTAAAAAAAAATTCCACAAGGTAGTTCAAATGTGATCTTTGCTTTCAGGAACTTTTCCGTTCCTTTTAGTTGTTATGTTACAGGTTTCCAGATATTTCAGTTACATAGAGCCATACAGCACGGAAACAGACCGTTTGGTCCAACCAGTCCATGCAAACCATAATCCCAAACTCAAATAGTCCCAGCTGCCTGCTTTTGGCCCATATCGCTCCAAACCTTTCCTATTCATGTTCTTATCCAAATGTCTTTTAAACGTCGTAACTGTACCCACATCCACCACTTCCTCTGGAAGTTCATTCCACACGCGAACCACCCTCCGTGTGAAAAAAAATTGCCCCTCTTGTCTTTTTTAAATCTTTCTCCTCACTTAAAAAATATGGCCCCTGGTCTTGAAATCCCCAAACCTGGGGAAGAGACATCTACTATTCACCTTATCTACACCCCTCATGATTTTATAAACCTCTGTAAGGTCACCTCTTGACCTCCTACGCTCTATTGAAAAAAAAAACCCAGCCTCTCCTTAAAACTTAAACCCTCCATTCTCGGCAACATCCTGGTAAATCTCTTCTGAACCATCTCCCACTTAGTAATATCCCTCCTATAGCAGGGTGACTAGAACGCTACACAGTACTCCAGATGAGGCCTCACCAATGTCCTGGACAAACTCAACATGACGCCCCAACTCCTATATACAAAGGAAAACCAAAAGAACTGCGGGTGCTGTAAATCAGGAACAAAAACAAAGTTGCTGGAAGAGCTCAGGAGGTCTGGCAGCATCGGTGAAGGAGAAAACAGAGTTAACGTTTCGGGTCTGTTGTGTGTCCCATTCTGAGGAAGAGTCACCAGACCCGAAACGTTAACTCTGTTTTCTCCTTCACAGATGCTGCCAGACCTGCTGAGCTTTTCCAGCAACTTTGTTTTTGTTCCTATACTCAAAGGTCTGAACAATGAACAAAAACATGCTAAACACCTTCTTAAACACCCAGTCTACACGTGATGCAAACTTCAAAGAATTATATGTTTGCATCCCTAGGTCTCTGTTGTAAAGCACTAACCCAAGGCCCTACTCTCAATTGGATAAGTCCTGCTCTTGTTTGTTTTACCAAAATGCAATACCTCGCACATCTTTGCCTAAGGAATTGATTATATTTCTCCAGCGAACTGGAATTGTACAATCACGTTTATAATCACTTTCTCTAGCTGCTGGACCTCACAATCTATTTCCTTTCTCCACTGAAGTTGTTTCAAACATTTCATATTGTCTACCCTGACCTTTCCCAAATTTGTTTTGTTTCGGGACTGATGCAACAAATTCAGACCTGGGATTGTTTTGGGGGCAGTACTTAGTTAATTAGAACGCACACCCCTCTCACACTGTCCAGATGTTATTGGTTATGCTTGTGTCTCCCACAACCGTCTGTCAGCATTACCTGAAAAATACAGGCAATACTGAAATGATTAGATCCTGTATCTTATTGAAGGTATCTCACACCAAAGTGTCCAGACTAACAGTGTTTACAGCACAGGATAACTATTTGGCCCAAGTTCTCCATGCTAATGTTTAGGCTCACTTACGCATCTTCCTCATCTCCCACATCATCTGCTACTCCTGAACCTCTCTCTTGCATGTGTTTATTCAGCTTCTCCCTTAACCACTCCCTGTGCCAGTGAATCCCACAATACCCTCCACTCCAAGAGGATGAGATGTAGGAACAGGACGCCACTATTCGGCCCCCTTTGAGCCTACTCAGCCATTCTATAGGGTCATGGTTGATCCGATATCCCTCACGACCGCTTTCCTGCCCTTTCTCAGTAACCCTCAATTCCCCGACTGATCAAGAATCTATCTCAGCCTTAAATACACACAAGGGCTCTATCCCCACTGCTCTCTGTGGCAAGGACTTCCAGAGACACTCAACCCTCAGGGAAGAAATTCCTCCTCATCTCAATCTTCAACTGGTGACCCTTTATTCTGAGACGATGCCTTCTGGTCCCAGACTACCCCATGAGGGGGAAACATCCTCTCAGCGTTCACCCAGACAAGCCCCTTAAGAACCTTGTATGTTTCAATGAGATCACCTCTCCTCCTTCTAAACTCCAGTGAGCAGAGTCCCAACCTGTTCAGCATTTGCTCACATGACAATCCTCGATTGACTGGGGATCATCCTAATGAACCTTCTCTGAACTGTCTGCAGTGAAATAATATCTTTCCTTAAATAAGGGACCAAAACTGCCGACAGTGGTCACAGTATAAGTGCAGTAAGACTTCCTTATTCTTATACTCCAACTCCCTTGAAATAAAGGCCAACATTCCATGACCCTTCCTGATTACCTGCTGCTCCCATGTGCTAGCCTTGTGTTGCATGCACAAGTACTCCCAGGGGACGGCACTGAGGCTTAGTGGTTAGCACTGCTGCCTCAGTGCCAGGGACCTGGATTCAATCCCACCCTCAGGCAACTGTCTGACTGGAGTTTGCACATTCTCCCCTGTGTCTGCGTGGGTTTCCTCCGGGTGCTCCGGTTTCCTCCCACAGTCAAAAGGTGTGCAGGTTAGGGTGGACTGGCTGTGCTAAATTGCCCCGCAGCGTCCAGGGATGTGCAGGCTGGGTGGGTTAGCCGTGGGAAATGCAGGGTTACAAGGGCAGGATGCTCTTCGGAGAGTCAGCGTGGACTGTGCTCCCACACTGTAGGGATTCTATGAATTTCCCTCTGTATTGCAACGTTTCTCTATTTGAATAATCCTGTTCTCCCTTCCAAAACGAACAATTGCATATCAGGGAAGGCAATGGCCTAGTGATATTATCGCCAGACTGTTAATCCAGAGACCCAGATAATTCTGGGGACCCGGGTTCGAATCCCACTGTGGCAGATGGTGGAATTTGAATTCAGTTTTTAAAAAATCTGGAATTAAGAGTCTGATGATGACCAGGAATCCATTGCCGATTGTCAGGAAAAACCCATCTGGCTCACTAATGTCCCTTAGGGAAGGAAACTGCCATCCTTACCTGGTCTGGACTACATGTGACTCCAGACCCACAGCAATGTGGTTGACTCTTAACTGCCCTCTGGGCAATTAGGGATGGGCAATAAATGCTGGCCTGGCCAGCAATGCCCTCATCCCATGAATGAAGCAAAATTTTCCCACATTATACTCCATTTACCAACTTTTAGCCCACTACTCATCTATCAGTATCTCTCTGTAAACCCTTCTCACAACCTGCCTTTCCACCTACTTTTGTGTCATCTGCAGATCTGGTTACAGTCCATTCGCTTTGTCCTTCTAAGTCATTAATACGTATCGTTAGCAGTAATGCTCCCAGCACTGGTCCCTGTGGAACCTCAATGGACACAGGCACTATGGGGATGAAACAGGTTTCGCCCGAATTCTCAATGGGATCGATCATGGACGTATACAGACGCCCTCCAGTCCAGCACCCGCTCCAAGTGAACGATACACACTGCTGCATGGTGAAGTGGGGGCTGCTTTGTTCTGGATGGTATCAAGCTTCTCGAGTGCTGTTAGAGCTGCACCCCTAACTCATGCCGTGTGGATGGAGGAGTTTCGGGGGAAGACTTACTCTCGGGCTCCGTCCTGGTCTTGCAGCCACAGTATTTAAAACGCCAGTTTGGCGATAGTTTGCTATTCATTCTGTTATTAACCAGGTGACCTTAAACACAAATCCAATGGTTTATGTTGGGGGGCGGAGGGGGGTGAGTTTTTATTATATGGAAGTTGTGTTATTCTGAAATTATTATTTCTGACATGCTTTTGTACTTTTGAGTTTCTGTACTGCTGGACTTTATATTTTTCTAATCCTTGTTCCTAAGAATTTGTGCATAAGAATCTGTACCTAGGTACCCATGTAGGTAAGATGGTGCTGTAAGTGGAGAATTGTAAACATTTCACTGTACTCATGTGAGTATGTGACAATAAAGCTAATTCAATCGTGAAAATCAAAAGATTTACAAGGATGTTGCCAGGGTTGGAGGGCTTGAGCTGTAGGGAGAGGCTGCGGCTATTTTCCCTGGAGCGTCGGAGGCTGAGGGGTGACCTTATAGAGGTTTATAATATCATGAGGGGCATGGATAGGGTGATGGGCCAAGGTCTTTTCCCCAGGGTAGGGGAGTCCAAAACTAGAGGGGCATAGGTTTAAGGCGAGAGGGGAAAGATTTAAAAAGGACCTCAGGGGTAACGTTTTCACACAGAGGGTGGTGCGTGTATGGAACGAGCTGCCAGAGGAAGTGGTGGAGGCTGGTACAATTACAACATTTAAAAGGCATCTGGATGGGGACATGAATAGGAAGGGTTTAGAGGGATATGGGCCAAATGCTGGCAAATGGGACTAGATTAATTTAGGATATCTGGGTCAGCATAGACGAGTAGGACCGAAGGATCTGTTTTGGGAGCTGTACAGCTCTATGGCTCTGTCTACTGCCCTCCCCTTATCTACTTACTTATCTCCTGAAAGAATTCAGTAAGGTCGGTTCAAATGTCATCTTCCCTTTTGGAATCTGTTTTGACTGTTATAATTTGGGTTCCTAGATTCTTCTCTTACGATCTTTGAGTAAGGATTCTATTATCTTTCCTACTGCTGATGTTGCCTGGTCTCCGATGCCCTGGTTGTTTCAGGCACATTTTTAAAACTACAAGACACTATGATGGCTTCTCCACTTTCTCGTATTTCGTTTTCTAATGAGTGTTTTACACACAAATTTCCTTCAGTATGTCCAAATGTAACCCACGTGGACCAAGCACTGCTTGGGGGCGCAATATTAAGTGCATTAGAAATTGTACCTTTTACAGACTGCTCAGATTTCAAGGAGCTACGATCATGCTTTCCAAAAGTATCCATTTGTACTTCTGAAAAAAATATTCAGATGGTTAGACCCTTCTTATTATTGCAGAGGCTTATTAAATAAATCATGAGAGCATAGATAACAATAGCAAGGGACTCTTCCTAAGGGTGGGAGTGTTTGAAACTAGGGATCATTTTTTTTCAGGGCGAGAGGAGAAAGATTTAAAAGGACATGAGGGTCAACGTTTTTTTTTAAACACACAGAGCGTGCTTCGTTTGTGGAATGAAGTTCCAGAGGAAGTGGTGGATGTGGGTACAGTTATAACGTTTAAAAGGATAAGTACATGAATAGGAAAGGTTTGGAGGGATACGGGCCAGGAGCAGGCAGGTGGGACTAGTTTAGTTTGGGAAACATGGGCAGCATGGACTGGTTGGGCCAAAGGGACTGTTTCCGTGGCGAATGACTCTATGCTCACACGACGTGGGGCTCGATTGCTCCACTAGTGTCCGATACTTAGCATTTTGTCACGGCCTTTGAGCTGATCTGCTCCATATGAGCCTGCCCCACCCCCATCTTTCTATCCCTTCCTCCTGTGTTTACCCTTCATTGTATCAATGGGGGAGTGAGCGAGTCCTGCACTCTCCCTCCACCCTCTTGGGGGGGAGAGGGTCCTGCACTCTCCCTTCACCCTCTTGGGGAGGATATTGCACTGAATTCCCGAATTCGGGGACTATCCTGCTTAGGTCCCACTTTGACACATGAGGGGAAAAGGAAAGTGTGTTTATTTTCCTGTTGTTTTTGCACTTTCTCCAGTGACCCTGCATCCTTTTTGTTTTTGAGGATGTGGAGGATACAACTGCTCATTGTAACCCCGAGTGTGGTCCAGCCCGAGGTTTAATACCAATTTAACCAGTTCTCATTTCTCAATCCTGCGCCCCTGCCAACGAACCCAGGTGTTTCATCAATTTCTTACCGTCCTGTGCTGACATCTTTAGTGATTTTTTTTGTAACCATCTTTTTGTGTCTATCCTCTGCCACGTTAAATACCATTCCAATTTCGGTTCAGCCGCAAACATTTCAATTTTATAAACTTTGCAGGGGGTGGTGTTCCCGTATATCTGCTGCCCCTGTCCCTCTGAGTGGTAGAGATCACAGGTTCGGAAACTGCTATTAACGGACCCCGATGCATTTCATTCATCAATTAATTGGAACCCATACCTCTTACAGACGGTTCCGACTTTATTGAGCTGGTCTCCATTCTTCCAATGGGGTCCAATACTCCTGAAAAACACAGGCGAAGGTAACTGGATCCTGCACCTTTGTGATAATGTTGGCAGAGAGTTCAGATTACACCAGTGCAGCCTAACATTTGGAATGTATAACACATGCAGACTATTTTGCTCCTTGTGTCTGCTGTTCATCTCTTCCCTTTCATAGAATCCCTACAGGGGTTGGGGAGGACGCAGGCCATTCGACCTATTGAATCCACACTGACCCTCTGAAGAGCATCCTATCCAGACCCAAACCCCTACCCTATCCCCATAACACTGCATTTCCCACGGTCAATCCACCCCGACCTGCATATCTTCGGACAGTGGGAGGAAACTGGAGCACCCGGAGGAAACCCACGCAGACACGGGGAGAATGTGCAAACTCCCACACAGACAGTTGCCCGAGGGTGGAATCGAACCCAGGTCCTTGGCGCTGCGAGGCGGCAGTGCTAACCACTGAGCCACCGTGCCGCCCCATCTTTCTCCCTCCAGTTTCCACTCATCTTCCCCTTCGAATGCATCCAGATTATTCACACACACCACCCCCTGTGGGGAGCGAGCTCCACTTCCTAGACAACAAGGTGCAGGGCTGGATGAACACAGCAGGCCAAGCAGCATCATAGGAGCAGAGAGGCTGACGTTTCGGGCCTAGACCCTTCATCAGAAAAGGGGGAGGGGAAGGGGGTTCTGAAATAAATAGGGAGAGAGTGGGAGGCGGATAGAAGATGGATAGAGGAGAGGATAGGCGGAGAGGAAACAAACAGGTCGAAGAGGCGGGGATGGAGCCAGTAAAGGTGAGTGTAGGTAGGGAGTTAGGAAGGGGATAGGTCAGTCCAGGGAGGATGGACAGGTCAAGGGGGCGGGATGAGGTTGGTCGGTAGGAGATGGGGGTGCGGCTTGAGGTGGGAGGAGGGGATAGGTGGGAGGAAGAACAGGTTAGGGAGGCAGGGACGAGCTGGACTGGTTTTGGGATGCGGTCGGGGGAGGGGAGATTTTGAAACTTGTGAAGACCACATTGATACCATTGGGCTGCAGGGTTCCCAAGCGGAATATGAGTTGCTGTTCCTGCAACC